GGGAGTTGAATATGAACATATATATATACACCCATATCTATATATGTATGCACATGGAAAACACGATCTTTAGAATGGCCTACCGAAGTTTCGGCTTGCCCCTGCTTCGAAGGTTGAAGCAAAACGGTTCCCTGTTCCAACCGAGTGTCACATTCGAAGCTGGTCTTTCTCGCGCTTCCTTGCTTGTCTCAAGCGTCCAAGCTTTGTGTAGGGTTCAGAGTTTGGGGGGTTAGGTTGCAGGGGTAGGATCCTGGCGAATCAAATGGAAGAGGAAAAAGGGACAATGAAATGGAAAGTGCGCTCAGAATCAGTGCGACCTCACGCAATTCACTTGCTCCAAGGAGGGTTTGTGTAACCCTTAGCCCTAAGGTCCCAAGCACGAGTTCGCTAAACCTAGAACCAGTCACTCCAAAAGTCAAGCCCACACTTTCGACCTGCCTAGTCAAGCAAAGGCAATACAAACCAACAGCAGGCATCCCCACAAATACAGAGTTCACAACTCAACAATAGTAGAACCTTGGTTACAAGCAAGAGTTGAGAACTGCCAAAGCTGTACTTCTACTCAGTGTAACCACTCCAAACGTGCAAATAACATATCTTTCGCATAAAGAAACTTCAGAAATGGATCAGAACTCTGTGCCATGCCCCTCGGCAGGGGTTGGGACGGGCGTCATTGAAGCAATGTCGGTGCCATTGCGGCCTCTCAGGCATAGGAGTGTTGCTAGGCAAACTGCCACTACGTTCCTTGAATACAAAGGATTGGCTTCAACAAGCTTTTTTCGAGTTTCAAGCTTTCAGTGTCCAGAGCGGTTGGGGGTGACATCCCTGAACCCGCAAAATCTCTGGGCCAGACTAGTCAACGACTTAATGAGGGCCCTTCCACTTCTGAACCCCTTAAAGTCCAAAACCTCGTTGCTGGTGTTCATGCAGATGCCTTTCCTTGTCTTGCTTACATGCTCTTTTATGTCCAGGACAGGCGAGCCTTCGCGAGTCTTCAGCCAGAGCTTCCGCGCTTGAAGAAGCGGCAGTGGTGTCGTTGCAGCCCAGTGGGATAAATAGGATTTCCTTCATGAACCCCCATTCCGGCTTATAGCAACCATGATGTAGGCTAAGGGTTGAACCCTAAATTACATAAAGTATCCACTGTTTTTTTTTTCTATCCCTATATGCCAATGTTTCCAATTTTGGGGCGTTATTCCTTGCCCATGCATGCCAGCCAGCAGCCAAGGAATTCATCTTCCACCGAATGACAAACCCCAAGCCTGCCTAATGATATACACCCCACCCAATACAATACAATTATAGATTCGGGGAACATCTATCTTTTCGGCGGGCCCTGCTTGTGCTTGAGCATGTACTTGGACCTCCGAAATACCCCTGTTACAAAATCTGAAGTGTATTTTCAAAACTGGCATGCAATGCTGAATAAATTTTTGTAGGCAGATTGTGACTCTATCATGTACAAGTATAGCTTGGGTTAGGCTCGTGCCCATTTGTTCTGCTGCTAGAAGATAATGCAAGGACCCGAACATACCTACAATCATACCGGGTGGTGACTACTAGCGGGTGAAGGCCCCAACCTAATGTATCGTAGAGAGTCGGCAAATTCATGCAATCGAAAGGACTTGTTTGACAAGAGAAAGGCTCAATGAGCCAAACATCAAGGTTGCTGTGACCGTGTGCGTCCTTAACCTCGGCCCAAAACCCTTATTTCACTCCAAGAACTGAAGCCTAATCTCGACTGAAAACCCATGAGAATGATGAGGGCAGCGCCGCAATTAGAGTACGAATCCAGAGCGATACTGAAAATCAAGGTAGCAGCGCAATGACAATAAACAACATGCTTAAGCCCGATCCAGCTTCACATCCTTGTGGTCCTCATTCCTGGCTACGCCCCCAGCCTTGGTAAACATGAAGACAAACTCAACGTCAAGCTCTCATTGCAGTTGTAAACTTTTTAAAGCCTGGCGATGTTTGTTTCAGGCTTCAGCAAGTTCAATGCAGGGAACAACCGTCTTCGAAAGGCAACCCAGCAACAGCTTCAGCGAAATTCCGCGCTGCTGATTTGCCTTAGGGACACTTGCGGCGTAACAAGTTGCTGAAACTCAGGGTATTTATAAAAATGGGGTCTCCCTGATATCTACCAAGACAATACAATGTAGGAACTCCCCAAAAGGGATCACCATTTTTGGAAACACCCATAAGGATTGAAATGCTTGACGGGAATGCAGACCTGTCCTCATGTCCTCACCCCTCAAGAAACTGCCTTCCGAGACACTGCAGGTGGCAGAGAACCAGACTTGCAGGCAGTGATCAAGAGGCACGCTACGCTTCAACATCTCAGCAATGACCTTCCCAGGGGACTCATTTCGGTTTCCTTCGAACAACCATAAAACACCTTGGCATCCGTAACCAAGAGTCTGAAAGGTCGAAACCATGGTCCCATAGTATGGCCACTTTATACCTGAGATCCTTATATACCTACTACATGTGGTCTGAAGGCTCCCTAGAAGCCCCCTGAAAGACCAAAGAGCCCATATTCGGGGCCCATACGTCTACCTTAGAAGGAACCCTTGTCAAGACCGAGGGTCCAAAGGAAGAGTGCAGACTGCCTGCTGCAGCCCCCAAAGGGAGAAACCGACCCAGGGACTATAGGGTTATATATTGGGGTTATATTGGGATAATGGAAAATTTAACTGGAAACTACTATAATGGTTTGCCTGAAATCCACATCGGGTGGATCTCTTGGGGACCTGGGGGCTTGAGACCCTCTATCCCGAAATGTCAAATAATCTAAGGCACGTTTCCCGGAACCTTCTGAACCCCGGACCACAACAACATTCAAACACCTGAAGCTGCAAGTGCTTACTGAAGGAATGGACTTCCAAAGTCCTCAGCTAATCTCCGATAATCTAATTGCGATTCTCTCTTCCATTCCCCTTTACATCCCTCAATAATGCCTCAAGAACCCTAGTTTGCATGTTATTTGCTATCCTCTCTTGCCTTTGATTCTCCGTTAAAATCATTAAAGCCGTTTCCAGTTTTCTTCTCTATGCACCTAGATTTTGGGTATTATTATAATAAGATCCCCATCTAACCCATATTCTATCTATTTAAGGGGGACTATAGACCCCTATATTACCTCAGTTTCCATTTCATTTTCCAGTTCTTTTCCATTTGATTCTCCAGTATCCCTAAACCCTTAACCCGATTAAACCCTAACAGCCAGCAGAAGGGCCTTGCTCTTGGCCACCGAAAAGGCGCTCGAATCCAGGCCGACGAAGCGCAAGGGACCCAGCACATTCTGTAGGGGCGAGGGTTTATCAGGGTTTAAGGTTTAGGGTTTAAAGGTAGGCTCAGGAGCCATCTACAAAAAGGATTTCACGGTTTATAAGGATTATATAAGGATTCAGTTAAGGGTAACAAAGCTCAAACATCTTTTCAATCCTACCCCTGTTCAGGTTTGCCTCAGGGACTAAAGACATATGGGAATTATGAGGAGATTCTGGGTTTACTTCTGAGGGAGGATATATGGATGCTTTCAAGAAACTCTGAGACAAGGGTTTACACGTGCATAGATCATATTGGGGTTACGTAGGGCTGGAAGACCAAAGGGTTGCATGTACAGTAGCCAGAAATCCTGCACCTAAATGTAAACCTAAATGGTTCCCTGAATAGGGGAACCTCAATATAGATCCCGAAATACTGTAATCCTTGTTATGAGGACCTCCAAAAAGGTACCCCTAGTTTTGGGAGACTACCAAACCTTTTCAGCAAACACCTTTGCCTTTGAAGGCTCCTCTCGCAAGTCGCAGGAAAGCAGAATCCCCAGGTCGTTGAAGCCAACAGCCACGTGAGTGGTTCCCTTCAGGGAATCTAACCGTCGGGCCCTAAACCCTAAACCCTAAATCCTAAACCCTTTATGGTGTATAGCTCCCATGTATAAGACTGCCGGGAGCTTGAGGTGGGCTTAGGGCGCAGTCACGTAGGGTCTTGGGAGTTGGGGATTTACCTATCTTGTCCTGCAGAAAGGACAGTGTAGGATTATACACAACTGAGGGAAATCTATCAGGAATGTACTTGTAACCTTGAAAAGTCTGACAGGTCTAGGGTGTTCCAGGTGTGCAGTTGAGTGTTGGCTGGCTTGAGGCCTCAGTCAGTTCACAACTGGGAGATTTACTGCCTTGAGTTGCAATGTGCCCAAGTACCTTCAAAACCCACACAAGAAGTCTGGTCCAAGTAAACAAGCTTCCTTTGAACATGCTTCAAAAGAATGGAAACCGTAATATTGACTGCATGAGACTTGACAACTCCTTGTTATCCGGGCTGTTTGGCGGTGTCCAAAAATGCGGGGCCGCATTGTGGACCCCAATAGAGTATTATCCTGGTTATGAGGACTCCCAAAGACTGCTCTTCATTTTTAGAAACCCCGCTTTTCAATGTTGAGAATATCCCCAGGAGATGGTCAAGCCTGAAATCCAGGTCCTTCGAAGGCATAGAGACTTTGTATCAGAACTGGCCTGCGAGGGCCATCCACTTTTTTCAAAGCTTGGTAATCGGTACCCTGAAGCTGTTCCACATACTATCAGCCCTTGAGCTTCTCCAAGTTGAGTAACCTCGGTTCCAGCAGGCTTGAAACTAATTGCAAGCAGATGTGGAGCCTTGTGAAGGATGTCTCGCCGGCAAGCGTGATTACCTGCGTTTGACCGGTCCCGTAGGTTTATGATGCAGGGTCTCTGGGGATCACCAACAAGACAAGGCCCAAATATAGACCCCAATATACTGTGACTATAGTCGTTTTAAACGGACTCTCAAACGGGATCCGTGATTGTTAGAGACCACCGATTCTGCTATTACACCTGAGGCTGTACGGTGAGGTGTTTTCTGGTCAGACGCGGGAGGGCTCCAACAAAAACGATCTCTGTCGCAAAATCAGCCCCTGTTTATTCCAGTGGTGCAAGAAGGGGGGCAACAATGACTGTGGTCATTTTGGCGTGCTCTAGAAGCATTACGCAGCCAACCCTAAACCAATGCTGGTACCTTCTCTGTGTGGCTCGCGGGCTTGGTGGGAAGACTTGCCGGGGGATGGGAAAAAGTTTGAAATTTCTGATTTTGATTGGTTCTTCTTGTTTGCCTCTTTGCTACAGCCTCTTCTACTGATAGCTGTTGGTGAACCATCTTTCATGTATTGCAGCCACTACCAGAAAGCCAAGACACAACACCAGATACAGCAAAGTCGAAAGACCCCCAAACTGCAGAACACCCAAAGCTACTCGTCAAGAACGGTACATGCACCTCAACCCTCCCGCATCTTAACCGAAACCCTATACCCTGAGTTTGCAATGCCTTCTGGATTGTTTAACCAGAAACGAAGTTGCAAAAGCTCGATCGAATGAGCTCCGAGTACCGCTGCTTCTCCAGGTTCTCCCGTGCCCTGTTGGCAGAAGTATGCAAGCATCACGGTTTTTAGGTTAGAAGGACCCCCAAACCCACTCATGGTGGTGTAGCAAGACTACTTAGGGACCCTTATGTGTGTAAGTACCTTTGCCTCTTGTAGTCGTCATCATTTTGTGGGGTGTCCATCCAGGTTTCAAGGATCTGGAAGCTGGCCTACATCCAAAACACTCTTCGCGCAGAATTCTGAGTCGTGTTGGGATATAATTCAAAAACTATAACTCGATAACTCTTATAGGTTAGATGCAAAATACTTCAAGTATTTCCCGACAACGACTCAGAATTAGATGAGCTAAGGTTGGGGCGCTTGCGCAATTTTTTTTTTTTATCTAGCATCTACCAGTCTGGGTGCGTTTCTTGCACTTGGGGGCTGATAAATGCCGGACATGCAACGAATCCTGCACCAATTAGGACCCATCGAGTGGTGGAATTCCAGGGTACCAAATACCGTGGTGCAAGACTTCGTCCATCCATGCAATTGCCCCCTCTTCACGACTTCAAAATTGAGTGCCAGCCTTCAACCCCAGCATAACTTCCAGGAGCTGATTGGGGACAAAGCCTGATACATCTGAGTTCCCTGCCGGATGATGCTTCCTGGTTGCAATGGCTGATGCCTTGGGGAAGATATTTTGCAGCATGCCAGATGTACCCTAAACCTAGCGGCGCAGATACAGCAATGTAAGGAAAGCTAAGGACTCAAAACTGAAGATGTAGGCTTCTAGAACAACTATGTACTGCAACTTCCTGGAGCTGGATCTTGCAAAGTGCCCTGACTGGAAGGAAAATGGACCGTCTTTGCCAACCATTCTGGTGAAGGGTCTACTGAAGACACGTCCTGCGTACAGAACCTAACAGACATGATTCCACAAATCAGGCCGACAAAGTCTCGGTTTCTCAATCACACCACGGCAGACCATGAGACTGACGGCAAGGGGCAGCCATGCTTTACCACCAGCAAACCTGAAGCTTACCATCCACCCCACAGAAAACGGCCTCATGCAGGAGTAGGTACTTTTCCCCGTATGCAGGCCTCAATACTTCACTCCCAGGCAATGCTCCAGCTATTCGTGTCGCTTCATCAGCTTCTGTATCTTAGAGACTGCTGAAGAAAGCAGGGTTCAACTGACAATCGCGTATACTTGTTCGCAGCCAACTCCGAAAACATCGAACCAAACCTGACTGAAGAGCTGCTCAGGTGCTTTGCGTACCATTCAGCCCCCAATGTCCCATTGAAGCGGTGTACCATAGAGGCTTCATCAAACCTTGCTTAGAGTCTTTTGGCCGTTAACAAGGGAATTTCAGGAGGAGAGGCGCCCTTACAGCACATGTACATTTGAAGCCCTAAGCGTGGCTGAGGGGGTTACTTTCCAAGCCAGAAAAACTTCCTGTGGGGACAACTACGCACCTGAAGTTAGCCCAAGAGGCTGCATGTTGGAATGCCATCTGATGCAGCACATTGAAACCAACTTATTCTGACCCCCCTCTTTGCCGGAATTCCTTTACTGCAGGGAGAGGAGCTCTTGACCGTGGTGTAAGATTTCATCCGTTCACCCTACCAGCCTAGTACTCCCAGAGGCTCCCTGAGGTTCCCCAGTGCCTATACCCGCCTTGGTCGCTCCCCCCTACGCACATGGCAAACCTCTAAACCAAGTTCGGAAAAAGGTCAGGTTGGAGATACCAGGCGGGTCTGACTGGGAAGCGCACGAGGTTTGCAAGGGCTTCACCAAAAGGCTTCCGGGGGGGGAAGTCTTCAGGCCATAAACCTTAAGCTCAAAAGCCACACCCGGCCCGAACCTTCTTGGCCAAGCAAGACCTTTCTGTTGAGCTTGCACTTCGGCCGTTGCTCAGTATAGGGATGCCCAAGGGACGCCATGGATGTAGGGGATAGTATAGGGATTATGAAGGTTTGTACCAGACATTGTTTAAAGGTCATGTTCAGGAACTTCGAAAAAACCCCCGACATGCATGAAGAACAATTTGGGTTCCATTTTCCAACACACCCCAGTCGGGACCACATACATTTTTGGGTTCCTGTTTGGTGTACTATACATATCATGAACTCTTATTCCTTTTTTTTCTTGTAGCAAATCAAAACACTAAACATGATTTTCAACAAGGACGTAATCCTGAAAACAGAGAGAACAAGTCTCCTTCTGAGCAGACAAAGCCCCAGAACTTCTTGAAACCGGTGGGATTCAAGAAGGCATGCTTCGAAGCTCCAGCATGGTTAGTAATTATGATATTGCCTGGTTACAACTTGTCAAGGTGTAACGACGGTTCCGTGCTTGTAGCTTCTTGGCACGAGTTCAGGGTTCAAAGTCCGCCCACATGGGCATAGAAAACCAGCCGTCAGATCCTCGGCCAACTCAGTCTGTTGAATAAGCCGAACAGATCCATAGCTTAATAAGGATGAGAGTACATGCACATGTATATATGAGCCCATCAGCAAGCCCTGCTATGATCCACCTGAGAATTCCTTGCTAACAGCCTTCATAACGCTGGAAAGGTACCCAAATCTGCACTCAAAGGTAACTTCCTCGATCACCCTTCCCGAAATTATCATACTGACTGAATTCCCTGGCACCTCAAAGTTAACCTTTGAAGTATGACAAAATTACAAGAGACACCCCCCAAAATTCCAGGTTAGCGACCCAGCTGCTAAAATATACATCCTCCGCAATTCCTTCCGGAACCTATCTTGCAAGGTCAAGTCTAAATCTTATAACTTCAGCTTTTAAGTAAAACTACCTCCAAAACCATTCGGCAAACCCTGCACGCCAACCCAACGGAGATTTTTCAATGCATTATCTTTCTGGTTGTCCTAACACGACTTCCCCCAAGAAACCACAACCAATACAAATAACAGCTGCGTGGGAGAGCTGGGGAACCCAAGTCAAAGTCAAGACAAGGGGCTGTAGCGCACCTGTGCGTAGCCTGACTGCTACGGAAAGGAAAAGGTTTAGGGCTGAAAATAAGGATCTGGATGTTAAAGTTCCCTGTGTGCTGGAAGGAGGACTTGTAAAGCCAGCTTCCGCTGGGCAGGTTCTACTGTAAACATTTAGAACTTTCCAGCGATGACATATCACCGTAGTCGCCGAATTCACGTGCTACTCCGTAAAAAGCTGAGGCACGTTCGCCCGTATACTTTCAGAAAACGGTTCTGCTTTATGAAATACAAAAAAAGCGCTGGACACGATTCAAGTGATCTCTCTTGTTCGTCCAATACAAAAGGAATGGGTGAGGTATTTTGTGCTCAAGGTTTAGGTTTGCCGAGTGATCCGGTAGTGGTGTGATTTTGCGTTACGGAACATTTCCAGTTTGCATTCCTCATTGGGTGCTTGAAGAAACCAAAATCCAAAAACGTATCCAACAATGACCTAATGTAGAGGTAGCACTGAAGGCTACCCGTTTGCGGCTCAGTTGCGCGGCTTCTGACATCCTTGGTGAGGCACGCATATGGGTTTACCAAAGAAATGCTAGCATTGGGACCCCAAGGATACTTAGGGACTGTACCTGTTTGACAGCTTCTGCAAGGATTACGTTGACAGTTCGCATGCGGATTGATCACACATGACGTAGTACCATTCAGAATCCTAAGGATACATGGGGAACAACAAGGGATCGCGATGAGCACTCCTTCCAATTCTTGCAGGAGCTGCTCAGGGGTTATTCTGAAAAACTTTATCGGTTCAGTACGCCGTACAATGTTTTGTCATACACTGATGGACAGGGTGCCAAATGCCTACATTCCTGGCATAACTGCTGTATAGCATATCTATCCTATCATACTCTGTTTCAGCAATCCTCTTGTTGAACTTCAAAGGCTCACCCATGGGCTAAGATTGGACCCCTATAGCCCTCATATAATCCACAATAATATGACAAGTTGATTCTTTCTGCATCCAATCAGTCTTACTAACCACAAGCAATTCTGTAAGAATTATTTCAAGGCCACTCAGTGGGATGAACGCTCGCATTCTTGGAGACTTGTCCGCATCATGTGCTTTATCATCCCGAATCTTCTAGAAAACTCCACTGAATAACAGGGAATATATACCCTTCCACCAAAAAACCATCAAGGCCCAGCATCCACGGCATTGCCACTGCATGAGCATAGGCTTCATACCTTAGTCTCAGTCGAGCCATGGCAAAACTCCCTATACAAGGCAGTCGGCGTGATTCAGGGTCCCAATACAGACTGTAATATGTCATAATCCTCATTAGGAGAACACCTCAAGCACCTAAAAAAAGGTCCCAACCGTGTCATGTGCCCAGAAAGCCCACTACCTTCTAGTTGAGGAATATACCCTGCATCATAGACGCCCAAAATCTTCTAATATCATTTAAGGTATGCCGGGTATGCCCTTTGCTTTACTAGTATTGGGCTCGTCAGCAAGGTCTGTTTGGAGGCAACCTAGTTTTCTCGCTTTGGCACGTCGAGTTTCAGATCCTAGTAGTCTGGTCTATGTGTAGCATTGTCTTCGAATAGTGGTGCGATAAGGGGCATTCAGCAATTTTGCGACTTTCAAGTTTAGATCCAAATTTTGCGAGCAAAACTTCAGCGCATGGGAGACTAGAAACGTGAAATGCCAGAAGCAAAAAGGAACTGAACTTGCGCACAAAGTGCCAAGTTGCTGAATAAGACAATTGACTTGTTGCAGCAACATTTGCTGTTGAATGTGCTTGTTTTTACAAGCTATAAGCTATGATGAAACAAAAGCCAGAATAGCCGGATGCCATGTTAAGAACGGCCTCTAGTTTGCTGATTTTCTCCGTCACATGGCCCAATTGCTGTAACGCAGCTGCGTCACTTTTGGTCAAGCAATTTTCGCGCCTGCATCTGCGACTTGTACAATTAGACTTCGGAGAAGCGTTGCAGCATACCTCAAAGTTTAACAAGTAGTGGCCAAGAGTGCTTAATTACAATGGCTTTCCAACTTCACTCGGAGAAGTCTTGCCATGCCTCTTGTAAACATGAAAGTTTGGCGCTGAAAACTCAGTTTGGAAATTTGTTGCTGGTCTCGCTCCCGCTTGGGTCATTCCTCGGTTGTTTCGGCTTGTGTTGGCTCGAGAATTGCCAAGCATGTGGCACAAAGGACGCGTGATTGCATCTCCGGATGTAAGAGATTGATTGTGCAACTTAAAGCACGTGCAAACTCACAGCAGAACATATCTCACTTGAAAACCGCCAAGTACGCTCAACGAAAATGCTACTTACGTTGTTCATTTCATCGCACCTCACGTTCTCTTTCACTGTTTTTAGCAGCGGGCAGGATCTTGGAAGGGGTATGCGGACCTGTATTTCTCGTCGATGCAACACAAATGGCGGGCTGCAAGCTGTTCGTGTTTCGAACCAAGAGCGGCCCCGCTGCCGGCCCCTGTTCTGCCATTCGCAGCTGCGGATGCATGACTCCGGGAAGCTGAGGGGCCTGGGCGGCACTTTGGCGCAGAGCACAATGTAGAAAGGTGGACAGCGCGATTGTGGTCCACGACGTGCTTCAGGTGTTTACCCCCTAACTGCACACCTGGATATGTGTTCTGTGTGCTACGACTCTGCCAAGGCTGAATACAAACACAACGATAGAAGGCACACGTCGCGCCCGTTCAGTGCGTAGCCTGGGTTGGAATCGCACGCAAACTTGGGAATGGCCGTTTAGGGTTGTTTAAGCGCTGCTTAGCAGCTTTCCACCTGGTGCGATTGCACATGTCTTACTTATGGCGCGACTAGAGGTTTTGCATGGTGGGGCAGAGAGTTCTAAACCTCAGCAAGATCGTTCTGCGGGGTATAGCACAGTTTGAAGTTTGAAGGTTAGGCAGGAAAGGACACATGCCCAGCGTTTGAATCAAGAACTCGAACCCTCAATTCTGGAGCCTGGCTTGCCCAAAGGCTAAACCTCCATCCCAAAACCGAGGCCCAACACCCTGCTTTGTTTAGGCTTAGGTTGACTGTGAACCCTTGCCCAACCGCCAGCAAAGTCACAGGAGATGCTGGCATTGCTGCATGCAGCCGGGATCTGTCACTGGCAGTCCGCACCTCACTCGTGTTCAAGGAGGCATAAGGCTCAAGTGGAATTTCAGAATAGTCCTTTTATATTCGTCTGATGGGATCACGATGCTATGCCGAAGTGTGCTCCCCAGAGTGTTTGGGACTTCACTTTCTTTCGGGTTCGGGGTTGACAAGGTTTCTGGGATTTGTAGGGCTTATAGGGTGCTGCGACACAGCGCTTTGCGGTTTTCTTAGGGTGCTATCGGATTGGGATTTCATAGGGCCTAGCAGCAAACTTTCAGATTCAAAGCCAAAAGCCCAAGCGCCAAGTTTTGACTATAGCAGTCGTACAGTGAAAAATGGCCGTTTGGGGCATACCGTGTCCTTGCAGGCTAACAAGATTTCCTGTCCACGACACTCCTGAAGCCACCTACCCAGCCCCCTCAGGATCGGATCTAAAACATGGAACCGTTAAAAGGACCCCACTACCACACTGGGGAAACCAGGGGACTATTGGGAGGTTCCACTTGTTGGATCCTTTAAGGGATCTGGGTAATCCTTCGTAGGCACCCTGACAACAAGAAACCCGGCTTAGACGTGCGCATATGCAGCTTGCTGCTCTTCTTTGCGCACCTACAACCCCCATCCGGAAGATATGCGCCCCAAATCCTCGACCTTGAGCCTTTTCGCCGTGCTGTCCTTTAAAGATGACGTGAAACCCTCCAAAAGAGGGGCTGTAAAATGGATCTGTCCTTTAAAGCTGTGGGCGAAAAGAGGTTCCATTGGGGGAGAGCCATCTCCCAAACTAAAAAAGCCTCAAATCTAAAACTGGAAACAGAAGGTGAACCTTAAACCCTAAACCCTAAATCCTAAGCCCTAAACCCTCAACCCTAAGTCAAGAAAAGCTTATGCAAGAGAAGTGGCTGCTTCGGGAATTGCAGGTGGAAGGCCGGGACTTTGCGGGCCACTAGCGGCCCGAACTGCTCCTAAGGGGTTTAGCTATGCGCCCTTTAAAGGGTTATATAGGAATGTATACGGATGTTACCCTAAGGCTTATATAGCTTACTTCTGGCTAGCAGTGAAACAAGGAATGGAAAAGAAAAGTGCTAATGCCACATATGCGGCAATGTTTAATGACTTTTATGAGTTTCAGCGGTCTCAGGGTTTAGGATCCAACCCGAAACCCTAAACTTAATCCCTAAACCTGAACCCTAGACCCTAAACCTACACTATAAATTCATTCTTTGCTCATGGACTAGCCATGGGGTGATGTAGGCAGGAAACTGTTTAAGTAAGTAAAATAGGTTTGTGGGATGTACTATACGCTTCCTAGGAGAGACTGCAGGCGAATTGCATATAACCTATAGCTTCTGGTGTAGGATTCTGGGTCTAGGGTTGGTTGGGGGTGTGGGTTCTCGGATTTAGGGTACGGTGCAAGGTTTGAAGTTCAGGGCTCAGGCATTAAGGGGTCCCGCTGCGGTTGACGGACAACATCCGAAAAACTCTGTGCCCCACAGGTCCCAACAGTTTGGAGAAGTTTGTGGGCATGCATGATTTTGTACAGGACACAAATGGTTCAAAGGGTAGGGTTTATGAGGTTTTAGAAGAGGAAGCACTGAACTCAGGGGAGCATTAGCCAGCTGTATAGTCCCACTTAAGTCGATAGAATATGGCTTTGGGTATATTAGAATAAGATTCCCCTCTACCCCATAGTCTATCTACTTAAGGGGGACTATAACCCCAATATATACCCTATTATAATATGTAGTAGTTGCCGTTTTCTTTTCCATCATCCGTAGATAACCCCTATAAAACCTAATTTTCGTAGTTCCGGATATTCAAATACTTAACTAGCTCCCAAAGCTCCGGATTTGTCTCAAACGAAATTGAAGCTTCCAACATGTACTTTTTTGTTCCATTTTGGGGGTCCCCTGAATAAGGATCTTAATATTTTGTGGTCTATATTGGGGTCGCCCTATTTTGTGAAACTACCATTTTTAGCATAGAATCTGAGAAAGTAGCGGTTCCTGCATGCAGTGACAGCTTCTGCAACAGTCGAGTCATACTAGCACTTGTTGCTGTCTACAATACATGTGTTCCTAGATTCTTGTCAATGCATGTGTCAGTACAAAACTCTGCCATTTAGGCACTACTGAGGAGTCTTCTTCTTCTTCTTTGAGAGGAAACTCCAGACCCCTGATTAAAAAAAACCCTCCCTTTAATAGGGATTATAATAGGTATCGTAATATTAAGGCCCTTAAAAGGAGGGGGTTTATTAATCATGGGTCTACATTAGGTGATGCAAGCTTGTTCATCTTCAGCACCTTGTTGGGTTGATAACCTTTACGCATCATTATCAGCTCGAGAACCTCCGTAGGGTATATATATACATATATATTGGGGTTGAATAGGGATAATGGAAAAGAACATGGAAACTACTATAGTATCTTAGG